GAATGTGGATTCGGCTATCATTGTGCCGATAGTCGTGTCGGCCAATGGGTTAATCCTTAAAAGCCTCGACATCCATCTCAGGAGGCTGGCGTTAGGTGGATGGATCAAGGGCCTGATACAGAAGGCAGTTCTCCTAGAAACGGCACGTATCGTGAGGAGGTTTCTGTCTCTAGAGCCCTAACCATTTGGACCATGCTCCCGCTACTGGTCGGCTCCTATTTTTTATATTTTTAAATATTATTTTTTATTTTGTAAGTAGTATTTAAAAATGTAATTTATAGAGAATTTTAAATAATAATAATAAGTAAGGGAAGTTGCCTAATAAATAACACAAAACAATTTGGATACTGTCTTTTTACCTCACCTACCTTCCTACCTATTAGGTAATAACTAAGATTTATATTTGAACGTGCCCGTTTTTTATAACGTTTCGTTCTTGGCGTGATTGTGGAAAATGGATGTATTTCCGTCTGAAGTACTCATTATTGAGTGCTCTTGTCACGGCCCTGACATAGTTAGACACACTAACTTGGTGCATTTTGTGGTGTGCGCTAGCTCCAATCAATATTTGGTATGATCCTGATTCATAAAAGCTAAGTACACTTAATACCTTGAACAGAAATAAATGCATTAGGTATACATCTCTATTATTTTCTTGAAAGACTCTTAAGGGAAAATTACTACTTTTAGTTACTACTTACTTAGCGGCTAATTACCATGCAACCAGGACTTATTCCACCACGTCGAGAGGGTAAGTAATGTTCCAACTCTTGGATTAGTACGCGACACACGCTTTTATTTACCCGAAACAATTCAGGATCCGGTATTTGTAAAACATCCTGCATGTTTCGAAGAGCCTTACTTCGCCGACGATATGAAATACTTTCTACAATACATGGGCATGCTTCTAAAAGTTTTCATATAGGCCTAAATCTACCATTTTATACTAGATGAAGTGTAAAACGTTGCCCTTGAGAAACATCTGACAAATCTGCTTATTTGACACAGGAATTCACTGTTTGCAAACCATTTTACGAATTTCCATTTAAAAGTGTCATATTAGATAAATTGCAAATATGAAACACTTTATGTTAATATTATGAAACATCAAAATGTTGTCTTTTTATGGCATGACAAATGAAAATGACGAAATTTGTATGGAACGTGGTGCCTTTTTATGTTTTCGCTCGCCGCAGTTGATCGGAAGTGGCTGGAAATGACTGAATGATTTTTTTTGTAATGACAAACAAAAAATATATGGGGCTTAATATCAAAAACTCAGTCCGAACCGAGTAAAATCAGTTCAAAGATGTAAAAAGTGCTATATTATGATTTTCATTTTGTTAATGGTGACCGTACATAATGCATATTTTTTCATTTACGTGTCAGAAATATTTTATAATTAATATTTATAAACAATTTCAAGGAATAATATAAAACTTATTGTGAACTTTTTACTTATTTTATTATTTTTGTTATAAAGCCACGGAATCAGAACAGAGTGTATTTAAACAAATGAACCATTAACCGGCCAATACTCGAGTAAAAAAATATATCGCTTGATTGATTAGCATCTTCACTTTATAATTATGTATACAGTTCATGGCTTTTGACAGATTTTCATGACCAATTTCCTTTCTGTCGAAAACCCGCAAAATACTTCACTGAGCAATATAATGAAATCCAAATGTTATTCAACTATGAAATGTTAGTCAACTACGGCTCCAGTAGCGTATTAAGTAGCGGCAGTCGTCAAAACATGTAAAAAAACATTTTTCTGTCGACTTCGCCCGACTAGTAACTATTACAACTACAGGTAATCTACAGTCAATCTACAGTTAGCATAACATTTTGTAAAAAGATATCGTCAACAGTGATGAATTATACTTCGACTGATCACACAAATATGAAAAAATTGTGCCCCCATCTGACGTATAGTCCATGACTTCATAACCAGCGGATGATTCCCTTTCTTAAAAAAAATTATGCTAACTATTAAGTAGATTAGTTTTCAATCAGGAGTAAACGGCTAAAAAAATTGTACTTTGTTAGATGTTTGAGCGGCTGCGACTACTCAAACTACCATTGGTACCGCAGCTGACGGCCACGTACGATCATGACAACTCCTTGAAGCATCCCCCAAGTTATCGACCGATAGAAAATAGATGAAAAAAATTTGTGCCTGGCATATCATCCATATTGTTGAATGATATGGTATACCTGTGCCAGGCGTACAGTACCACTTAATGTAAAGTCAGGAATTGTGATAAAAATATGAATAATTTTAATAAAAATAGCAACATAAAATGTTCGACTCTAACTACTTTCAACGCTCATCACTCAGTCCGGACTGAGATTTTGACATATAAGCCCATGGACAAAATCGTTTGTAATGTCATTCTAGATAATATTTTTCATAAATCATCGATTGCCGCCAGAAAAAAGAAAGCCAACAATTTTAGTCAATGCCCTTTCACATATTATGATTCAAAAATGAAACATACAATGTTACCTTTTTAGCCCCCTAACGGGCAAGTGATGGATGAACACAGTTGTTGAAGGGTAGCCCGTAGAAACCTATGCAACTCCATTTGCTCTTGTAGTTGATAAATTATTATTTTAATTCCGCATTTAAGTTGTTAATACATTAACAAAATACACATAAGAAACCAATTCTATCGTACTTAACATTATTTTTATAAAATGAAGAAACATTATTTTTACAATGAATGACATTACTGACCATCAGAAGTATAGTAATGAAAATAAAATGAATTTACAAATTACAAATTAAAAAACTAAATTTTATTTCTTACATTTGCGATTGGATTACAATGGGAAATAATTGTCAAAAAACTACCAAGTTACATGAGTGAGACAACACGGAATGATAATTCATCTACTCTTAAACAACCGAATTCCCATTACCGCCAAGGTTAAAACGAATGCGCAGCTGTTGCGAGCGGCATAACTTAATAAAAAGGGACCGTTGGACTATCCCTGTTATTTACATGAATATTGGCGTGCACGTGTATCATGAATAATAGCTAAACTAAATGCCCTCGGTTCCATTAAAAAACCGGTTATTTTTTCAGATGAATTTAATATACTATACGTACTTGTAATGGATGTTTGTAAGAGTAACGGACTCAAGCTATTAAACTCGTTCCACTACTATTCCCAAACACATTTGGGCATTGCGACCCTCATGAAACTACATTACTCAGTGATAGTAGAACCGCGTTCAAAATAAACTCACACGTAACCAGTACTGGATGGAAGTTGTATGTAGACGTATCTAATACCTTTAGACAAGCAATTCTTGTATATATGTACACGCTCTGCTCAGCTCCTATTGGTCGTAGCGTGATGTTTTATAGCCTATAGCCATCCTCGATAAATGCGCTCTCCAACACAAAAATAATTATTCAAATCAGACTTGTAGTTACGGAGATCAGCGCGTTCAAACAAACAAACAAAAAAACAAACTCTTCCGCTTTATATAATAGTATAAGATAATATGTCGCAAGTCGGAAGTCAGTGTAACCTCCATAACGTTTTACCCTACTAGTTAGGACACCAAATGTTCTACCGAAGTTTTTGAGTTATTTAGATTTTTAGGTTTTTAAGAAAAAATCCCAGAGTAAATCATTTGAAGCCAATTTAAAAATCATTTACAGCGCGACTGTGCTGAAATTTCAGTTAATATCATAGTTGATGCCGTAGCAGATCTTTGTAAATAATTAAAAGTTCAAAAATGCCTAAAACTTTGGCAAATATCACTGAAGAAACATTTTTTTTGTGAAGTTCGCAATAGCGAGCTGAACTTACTTACGGAGTATGAAGTAATAACTTACTGAACTGAGCTGAACTTACTTACGGAGTATGAAGTAATAACTTCATACTCCGTAAGTAAGTTCAGCTGCTTTTGCAGTAAGACAGATTAGACAGCTCATGGACGTAGATACGGCAAGGCTTGTCTATTTTAATTACTTTCGTACGGCATTCTGTTGCTGGGTCGAACTGTAGAAATATGTATAATAAATTTTTATTCTTCAAAAGCGGGCTATTCGAGCAATATATAGAGGTAAAATACGTCGTTGCGAATTCCTACGAAAATTGAATTGTTTATAACTATGTAAACGGTGCCCTGTCAATACACACAGGGCGTCCCTGAAGTCGACGATCAAATAGCAGCAGGTGATCGGCAAAGTTTCAACAGTTATTTAAAAAAAAATCCAAATCGGATAGTTTTTAAATTACAATAAGTTATGTGTTATCCACGCTGAAGTACACTCAGTGTCAGTCTTTTAACTCTTATTGCTACAATTCTTTAATTTCTTGTGTGTATTGTTGCTTACGTTATCCTGAATAGTGCTTCAGTATTATTGAATCATAAATTCTGAACTGCTTTAGTTTAGAATGTCGATTTTTCATGAACCAAATATTCCCAATAAAATGTTCACCTTAATTTACTTAAAACAATTCGTACTGCGGTAGTAGTGGCATATTTCACCAAAGTTGGCGCAATTAATAAGGATTCTATAAAATGGCCTTACCGACTCGTAGTCACACCAGATTATCACACCAGTATGACAAACAGGATTTTTTTTCTCGTTTGTCACACCGCTTATTTTTCTACACCATTTATTTTTAACTAGTGCTGTCCTAGAGCTAAATTAAAAATCATCAAATTATCAAGTTTTTATTAAATTGATGCCTTTATTTAATTAAATGTGTAACATAAAGTAATAAATAAACTAACTATGTAAAGTAATAATATGTACAAACAGGTAGTAAAAAATAACTCATAGGGCGTCAATTATTATAATTAAGTTTATGGCGAAAAGAGAAATCAATTGGTTTGAAAAGTAAACTACATAAAAGAATCCATCCCTATCTACCTCTATATCAATGGGAAAGGTGCCCAGAACGCTGGCAGCATTGCCACGTTGGATGGCAATGCTGATTCGTTAACAAAAAAAAGCCCGGCCCTGTGGTCACGCGAAGAGTCGACGTTTACTGATATCTCGAACAACACGATGAGCGCATGTAATTTCCGATAAGGTTATTATATTTGTGCCGCTGAGGGTTTCTGCACTTGCGGCAGCCGCCCCAGCACAACCTGCCGTAGTCAGAAGATGAGATGGCGAAGGGTATCGACACATGTTGCAAACCTTTAAATTAAATTAACTATTGAGTGTCCTCGAAATCACTTTCGGGCGTCCTCGAAATATATCGAGCGTCCTCGATTACTTTCGGGCGTCCTCGAAATATATCGAGCGTCCTCGATTGCTTTCGAGCGTCCTCGATCACTTTCGAGCGTCCTCGATCACTTTCGAGCGTCCTCGATCACTTTCGAGCGTCCTCGATCACTTTCGAGCGTCCTCGATCACTTTCGAGCGTCCTCGATCACTTTCGAGCGTCCTCGATCACTTTCGAGCGTCCTCGATCACTTTCGAGCGTCCTCGATCACTTTCGAGCGTCCTCGATCACTTTCGAGCGTCCTCGATCACTTTCGAGCGTCCTCGATCACTTTCGAGCGTCCTCGATCACTTTCGAGCGTCCTCGATCACTTTCGAGCGTCCTCGATCACTTTCGAGCGTCCTCGATCACTTTCGAGCGTCCTCGATCACTTTCGAGCGTCCTCGATCACTTTCGAGCGTCCTCGATCACTTTCGAGCGTCCTCGATCACTTTCGAGCGTCCTCGATCACTTTCGAGCGTCCTCGATCACTTTCGAGCGTCCTCGATCACTTTCGAGCGTCCTCGATCACTTTCGAGCGTCCTCGATCACTTTCGAGCGTCCTCGATCACTTTCGAGCGTCCTCGATCACTTTCGAGCGGTCCCTCGATCACTTTCGAGCGTCACTTTCGAGCGTCCTCGATCACTTTCGAGCGTCCTCGATCACTTTCGAGCGTCCTCGATCACTTTCGAGCGTCCTCGATCACTTTCGAGCGTCCTCGAAATCTATCGGGGGTCCTCGATCACTTTCGAGCGTCCTCGATCACTTTCGAGCGTCCTCGAAATCTATCGGGGGTCCTCGATCACTTTCGAGCGTCCTCGATCACTTTCGAGCGTCCTCGATCACTTTCGAGCGTCCTCGATCACTTTCGGGCGTCCTCGATCACTTTCGAGCGTCCTCGATCACTTTCGAGCGTCCTCGATCACTTTCGAGCGTCCTCGATCACTTTCGAGCGTCCTCGATCACTTTCGAGCGTCCTCGATCACTTTCGAGCGTCCTCGATCACTTTCGAGCGTCCTCGAAATCTATCGGGGGTCCTCGATCACTTTCAAGCGTCCTCGATCACTTTCGAGCGTCCTCGAAATCTATCGGGGGTCCTGGATCACTTTCGAGCGTCCTCGATCACTTTCGAGCGTCCTCGATCACTTTCGAGCGTCTTCGATCACTTTCGAGCGTCCTCGATCACTTTCGAGCGTCCTCGATCACTTTCGAGCGTCCTCGATCACTTTCGAGCGTCCTCGATCACTTTCGAGCGTCCTCGATCACTTTCGAGCGTCCTCGATCACTTTCGAGCGTCCTCGAAATCTATCGGGGGTCCTCGATCACTTTCGAGCGTCCTTGATCACTTTCGAGCGTCCTCGAAATCTATCGAGCGTCCTCGATCACTTTCGAGCGTCCTCGATCACTTTCGAGCGTCCTCGATCACTTTCGAGTATCCTCGAAAACTATCGAGTATCCTCGAAAACTATCGAGCGTCCTCGAAAACTATCGAGCGTCCTCGAAAACTATCGAGCGTCCTCGAAAACTATCGAGCGTCCTCGAAAACTATCGAGCGTCCTAGAAAACTATCGAGCGTCCTCGAAAACTATCGAGCGTCCTCGAAAACTATCGAGCGTCCTCGAAAACTATCGAGCGTCCTCGAAAACTATCGAGCGTCCTCGAAAACTATCGAGCGTCCTCGAAAACTATCGAGCGTCCTCGAAAACTATCGAGCGTCCTCGAAAACTATCGAGCGTCCTCGAAAACTATCGAGCGTCCTCGAAAACTATCGAGCGTCCTCGAAAACTATCGAGCGTCCTCGAAAACTATCGAGCGTCCTCGATCACTTTCGAGCGTCCTCGATCACTTTCGAGCGTCCTTGAAATCTATCGAGCGTCCTCGATCACTTTCGAGTATCCTCGAAAACTATCGGGCGTCCTCGATCACTTTCGAGCGTCCTCGAAATCTATCGAGCGTCCTCGAAATCTATCGAGCGTCCTCGATCACTTTCGAGCGTCCTCGATCACTTTCGAGTATCCTCGAAATCTATCGGGCATCCTCGATCACTTTCGAGCGTCCTCGAAATCGATCGAGCGTCCTCGATCACTTTCAAGTATCCTCTAAAACTATCGAGCGTCCTCGATCACTTTCGAGCGTTCTCGATCACTTTCGAGCGTCCTCGATCACTTTCGAGCGTCCTCGATCACTTTCGAGCGTCCTCGATCACTTTCGAGCGTCCTCGATCACTTTCGAGCGTCCTCGAAATCTATCGGGGGTCCTCGAAATCTAACGGGCATCGTCGATCACTTTCGAGCGTCCTCGAAATCTATCGAGCGTCCTCGATCACTTTTGAGCGTCCTCGAAATCTATCGAGCGTCCTCGAAATCTATCGAGCGTTCTCGATCACTTTCGAGCGTCCTCGATCACCTTCGAGCGTCCTCGATCACTTTCGAGCGTCCTCGATCACTTTCGAGCGTCCTCGATCACTTTCGAGCATCCTCGAAATCTAACGGGCATCGTCGATCACTTTCGAGCGTCCTCGAAATCTATCGAGCGTCCTCGATCACTTTTGAGCGTCCTCGAAATCTATCGAGCATCCTCGATCACTTTCGAGCGTCCTCGATCACCTTCGAGTATCCTCGAAAACTATCGAGCGTCCTCGATCATTAACTCAAGCATTGCATTTACAACCGGCCAGTACCTACTAGATAAGGTTGCATTATCATATGAACCACTGGACATCCACATAGAGCTTTAGTACCTATTTATTTAGACGGCCTCGTTGGCCGAGTGGTCGCAAGTGCGACGGGCAAGGGGTCTCGGGTTCGATTTCCGGGTCGGGCAAATTATTACTGGGTTTTTAAAAATCTCAGTAGTAGCACGGAGTCTGGACATGTGCCCGGTATATAGCAATAGGCTCACCCCCTATTACATGGGACTCCTAATATAAATAGTGAACAAGTAGGTGTTACATTGTATAGTGGCATTAAGTGCCGCAATGGGCACCTCTGCAATGGGCACCTTTGGGATAAAAGGCGTGATGTTATGTTATGTTACCTATTTATTAATTAAAAGTAGAAAATATTAAAAACTCGCCAAAGAACGAAAGACGGCAAACGCCGATCGACTTTATTGGAATGTAAAGGTACTGCACTAGTAATTATCGTATACATAGTGTAGAAAAATAAGCGGTGTGACAAACGAGAAAAAAAATCCTGTTTGTCATACTGGTGTGATAATCTGGTGTGACTACGAGTCGGTAAGGCTAAAATGGTATACCACTTCCTACATTATTTTTTAAATTCGACACTGTATTCGTATTATAAATTTCGTGAGACATACTAAATATATTATTATGTTTTCGGCTTACTTACGTAATTATTTGACGAGGAACTCGACTAGTTTCAAGACATGCTAGAGGCTCATATTCATGACATAGGTAGCGCGGTTGCGAACTAAGCCTAAAACATAATAATATATCGACACTATATTTTTCAATGAAAATCTCGTTTCGAACAATGTATTCCCAAAGCGCACCTAAAAACCTCGGATGCACTGAGTAACACTTTACACGCGATATGGCGTCATCATCATGTTGCTAAAAATGTTGGAAATCAGCAAGGGTCTCTAAAATAACATCGTTTGTATTCTCATGATTCACTTGCAGCATTTGTCAAATGCAAGTTTAAAACACATATTAAGCGCGAATTGTGTAATCAAGCTTACAACAAAATGACAGATTATCTTGAAGATAAGAATGCTTGGCAGCACGTTGGTGCGGCTCCAGTCAATAATACTCAAATGTAGTCAGTACCCAGTTCAGATTCCAATAACAGGTAATTTAACACTTAGATTCTGAAGAAGACAATCTAATTTTCTTGTTGCATCGAGCATTTCTTTCTTTTTTGAACCAAGGAGTTATTTTTTTCTTGTATAGAAGCACTATTTTATATGGCTTGTCAGTTTTATGAAGTGTGAGCACCATGCTAGACTATATTTCTTTTCTCTTTGTTTTGTTTTTTATTTTAGTACATTCTGTAAATTGTATTATGCGTCAAGTGTGTCTTTACATTGTTCTCACATATGTAAAATATTAGAATATGTATCAGAGATATTGTAAAATAGACTTGAGTAACGAATGGAGATTCTTGCTCGGTCTTCTCCACTCGAATCTATGTACATGTTGGAACAAGCTCCTAGCTTCACTGACGGACAGACTATTATTTATTTTATACTAGCGACCTGCCCCGGCTTCGCACGGGTGCAATATGTATGTATTATATATATAAAGCTTCCTTAAGAATCACTCTATCTTTTGAAAACCTCATCAAAATCCGTTGCGTAGTTCTAAAGATCTAAGCATACATAGGGACAGACAGACGGCGGATAGAGACTTTGTTTTATACTACATATGTAGTGATTGGTTGACGTTTCATAAGTACCAAATTATGGTTTAATTGAAATAAATGCGTTTATTTTTTAGTGTAGTGACTCCGTTTGTTTGTTTCTAAGTATAGCATAATAATATGGTAAGTAAAATGGCATGGCAAATCTGTGGAGTCTTTGAGATTATGGACGAATAAGAAATTACTCTCGTAGCTCTGCCTGCCTCCCTCGAGTCGGCGCAAGTGCTACTGGGCTTTTAAAAAAATTCTCAGTGGTAGCAGAGTCTGGAATTGTGCCCGTAATATGGCAATAGGCTCATCCCCTATTACATGGCACTCATAAATAGTGAAATAACATAAATAGTGAAAAGTGGGTGTTAAATTGTACGTGGCATTAAGTGTCGTAATGTGAACCTCTGTCTACCGCTTCGGAGATAAAATGTTGCGTGATGTTAAGAAAATACCCCATTGTAAGTACCAAACACCAATGACGTGCCCGGAACTTTTCAATGATAAAGATGATTGTGATCTTTGTATGATTGATATAAACGGTATAATA